CCCCTTCTCTAGCCGTTTTAGGCACTTTGGAGTTTGACCTTCTGTATGACCAGGCCTCCTGCACCCTGCAGTGCAGTATCCTCAGGGCCAAGGTGGGCACCCTCAGGAGGGTGGGTTACCTTTCCACCTGCCAATCCCTTCCCCACGCCTCCCCCACCCCTCCTGGACTCTGCCAGAATCCAGCTCTGCAGGGGGAGAGTAGGAGGGTCGGAGGGAGGGGCTGGGGCCCACAGCCCTCTTTGCTCCCCGCCTTCTGCCCAGGGCCTCAAGCCCATGGACTTCAATGGCCTGGCTGACCCTTATGTCAAGCTGCACTTGCTGCCTGGAGCCTGCAAGGTAAGGGTCCCCTTCTAGTCTGGCTTGCCCCTGGGCTTGTCCTGGACACCCCCCTTTCCCAACCCCGTGCACCCTCTGGCCCTACACGGCAGGCTAATAAGCTCAAAACCAAGACGCAGAGGAACACGCTTAATCCAGTGTGGAACGAGGACCTGACGTACAGCGGGATCACGGATGATGACATCACCCACAAGGTGCTCAGGTGAGGGCTGTGCCCTCTGGGGCCGATGGGTGCCCACCCGGGACAGCCCTCCGACAGTCACCTGGGGGGGCTCGCTTTCTTCCCTCCCCCTCAACCCCTACCTGCGGCTGTTCAGGAACACCCAGGGCCTCCCATTCCTGTAGGAAGCAGGCTGCAGGGGTCCCTGGCATTGCCCTCCTTGAAGGGGGCAGCCCCTTCCCAATAGTGGACGGTTGTCTTCGACCTAGAGCACTCCCTGCCCCTCCCCCACGGCAGCTGAACTTCCGGCCACCTCATAAAAGGTGCCACCGAGGAGACCCCTTTTCCAAGTCCTGGCTCAATCTGAGCTGCCTGTCCTGTGCCCGAGGCCGCCCAGGTGGCGGCAGCGGGCCTGAGCGCTTGGTCACCGCCTGTCACGTCAACAGTTTGTATCCAGCCCGTGCCTTGAATTGGGTAGGTGACCAGTGGTAAGTCCGTGTCGTTGGATTGCTTGCTAACTTTCAAATCGCTGTGATGCCGCCTGTGCCCGGCCATTGGGGGCCTGGAGAAGCCGAGTCGCCTCTGCCTTTGGTGCAGCTAGTAAACAGGGAGTCCCAGCCGGCGCCGCAAGCCGAGCGGCCGGGCCGGACACTCGGGGAGACGCGGAGGAGGAGGGGACCCGGGCTGACCGCAGCAGAGACGCTCGCGCGGGCAGGTGGAGCGGACCTCCCCCCTCCGCCCCCCCTTGGTCACTGCGGATCTTTAAGCCCCGCCCCTTCCCCTCCTCCGAGGGCTTTCTGCAGGGGAGGGGCGTGGGAACACGCGGG